CCATGCCTTGCTGTAGACAAACGCTTCCCAACATAGTTGCCTGATGAATCAACCTAGAGGCAAAACACATCTTCTGCTGGAGCCAGCAAATTGGCCTGAAACACTCTCTCCAGAGGGTCCAGTAGGGGGAGTCTTGACAGAGGAGACTTCCCCAGGTATATCCAGCCAATCATCCAGCATGGATTTAGGGCCCATGGTGTGCCTGACCATGTCTTAGGGGGTTGGGATTCAGGAGAATAGGACAGGGATCCTACCCTCCAGAAACCCAGAGTCATTCTTCTCGTAAAACGATTAATAAAAAGGGGAAGAAACAGAAAGGTGGATGCTGATCTGAGGGATGAGTATAAATGCAGGAGAGGCTCAGATGTGGAGGCCGTTATGGTCCAGAACATTTGGACAAGCCTTGCAGTGAAGGCAATCTAGAGCAGGCCTGGGTGGGATTATTTGGAGATGGGCAGAAAGTAGGAAACCAGGTATTCCTGTGGAAGTCTGACTGGCCTATATCTTCTGCAGGCCCAGAAAATTTTCTGTTCCCTACCTCACATTCAAAATGCTGGTCTTCAAAACCCCAGAAAAATAAACCTCTGTCCTGCCAGCCACCTACAAATGTCCCTTCTGAAGACCAAAAGATATTTTCAAATTTGTTGGGAGAAAATGATCTGAATATGATGGCCCAAGATGTAGTATGATGGCAGGTTAGTCACTCTGAGGGGTGGACAGTTTCCATAAACGACATCAAAGAATTGCTCAGGTTATGTTCCACAATGATTAAAATTATTTTGGGCTCAGAGGCAAAGGCCAGATGGTTCTCTTCTTGTGTCCTCTGGGAGCACCGACCTATAAAACCAAGAAGAGAGGGGCCAGGGCTGCCCACTGCATCAGCGAGCTCCTACTGTGAGCCCTCCTTCATCACCAGGGATGGGGAATTAGGACTCCTGAAGGACGTTTTCTAGATAACTGAAGTTAATCCTTCATGTTTGATTTTTTTCCTTCTGTTTCAGAAACTAAGCAAATCTTCTAAAAATAAACTACATACTTCCCCTGCACTCTTAAGTTTAGAATGCTCTTAAAGTAACTTTAACCTTTGATAAGCATGTTCAATCAGTTAAAATTACTGTTTACTTTGTTTCAAATTTCCTATTTTCAGAAGCACAATGTAAGAATGCTTGTGAAAATCATTTGCAAAGCAAGAGTAGGAAGGCTTCAGATTAGGCCTGAAGTGGCTCTCTAAGTGATATTCACAAAATTTAAAGTGAATGAATGAATGGATGGATGAATTTTGTTACATCCACTTTCCTTACGCTTCCTACTTGACACTCCATATCCCAAATAAGACCAGTAGCTTGAGAAGAATTTCAGTAAAACTTGCAGTGAACATGTCCGTGGTGACAAGTCCCTGGGTATTAACTGATTCTGTGCCCCCGACTGCAATTTCTGACCCCCAATAAAGATCACATTTCCTTTTTTTTACATGCTTATAGAACTATTCTTTACTTCAGAAAACTTAACTGTATGTAATGATATATCTATTTGTGATTATTTGATATTTGCATTTCCCCAATAGAGTGCGAATCCCAGTAAAGATGGACAATGACTGGTTTTTTTTTTTAAAGATTTTATTTTTTTCGTTTTTCTCCCCAAAGCCCCCTAGTACATAGTTGTATATTCTTCGTTGTGGGTCCTCCTAGTTGTGGCATGTGGGACGCTGCCTCAGCGTGGTTTGATGAGCAGCGCCATGTCCGCGCCCAGGATTCGAACCGATGAAACACTGGGCCGCCTGCAGCAGAGCGCGCAAACTTAACCACTCGGCCACGGGGCCAGCCCCGACAATGACTGGTTTTGCTCACCATTTTACCACCGGCACCTAGTCTAGCAGGTGCTCAGTAATTTTGTGATTAATGACTAAAAGAACATGCGGCAAGTCCAGAGCTCAGATTTCTGATTCTGCTGGTGCTGTCTTGTGTGACCTTAGACAGAGCACTACACCTGCTCTGAGTCTCAGACACCACATTTGGAAGCAGGTCTTCAACAAGATGATCATGAAGTGTTCATCCACTTTAGACTTCTAATCTATTTAAATGTGAGGAAAGGAGAGAAGATGCCAAGATTAGAGGATGGTCCAGAAGGGACCTGGAGGGGAGGCAGTGGCAGGGCTCATTGGCTGAGCCTCCCCAGGAAATGGCAGAAATGACTCCTGGGAGAAGTGTGACCTCTCTACAGCCATCTAGCCTTTGGAAAAATGGTGAAGGGAAAGAAGTTTCTCACTGAAACCTTCCTTTTCCTTTCTGCATCCCGTTCTTGAAACGCCATACCCATCACCATCATCATGACCACACACCACCTCCAATAAATTACTTTTGTCACGTCTCCCATTCTGTCCTGCATCTAAGAAAATGTTGGAATAAACTCATTCACATATAAGTGCAGTTTTAGGACTTTCCCGTCATTGTACTCTCCTGCCATCAGGCTTTGTGTTTTCCAACTCAGCCTGTTTGGGGGGAATGTCTATCTCATAAATTAATTGGTAAAGATTGAACTTTAGGCAAAATGTGGGGGTACTTTTTCAGTGGTCAAAGGGAGAGTTTCATAAAGGTCCCCAAATCCCACCCACTGCTCTGCCAGCCCACCTCAGTGCCTGGCTCCTAGGAGCGCCAGGGAAACCCAAGTGTGCAAACGCAGTTCCCACACATCACTCTGTCATCAAAATCATCATTTGGGTTCTCTGCCTCCCAGAGCCAAGTGAGACATTCACATCAGGAGCAAAATTTAAAGGGGCATCAAACGCTCCACAATCAACATAATATATTTAATGTAACACTTTAAAGTTAAAATTAATGCAAAAATCCATGATAAACAAGATATCAAATATTTAATAAGCCAAGATCAGTACTGTTGATTTTTTCTTTTGCCTCAGGCTCCAATACGACTCAGCTTAGTACTTCCTTCCATTTGCGCTGGTTGCATCACTGTGCACTGGGGGAGGACTGTCTGGGAAGCACCCAGGGCTCAGATCAGGCTCGTAGTGGTCCACGAACTAGCAGGAAGCCCTCAAGACACTTTCACCTGTTGCCGCCCTTCAGGATGATTCCTGGAGGGACTGTTCCCAAAGGCCGAGAAAGAAGCTCTCGCTGGAGCACAGCAGTGCTGTCCTCTGTTGAAACCATTACTGTTCTACACACAGAAATGCCAGAGCCGTGTACGGGGTTTTCACATTTCTCCAGGCACCCATTCTACCCCGGATACTGAAGGTGGCATCCTTGCCATGAAACAGTGAAGTCCTTCATTTCCTGTTCCACCAAACATCCCTGTCCTGAGAAAATCCATAGACGAATATTACTGATCGTTTTCTACCACTCCAGGAGCAAATGCAGGGATGGGGAACAAAGGGAGCTATTTCTCTTTGCTGAGCACTGAGAGAACACGATAAATGGTGACAGGGAAGGCTCTGTGTTCTGAGAGACTTTTAGTGATTCCTGAGGAACACACCCACCCCACTATCCCCCAATGGGGGGGCCGGCATGGGGGTGCCGGGGTGGAGGTGGGGGAGGAGGCACCTCATCAGTGCTGTTAGTCAGGGTTCTGTTAGGGGTCCAGCTCCCCTCTGCTAACGTAGCAGGGGGAGAATGCCAAAGAAGGAATGCTCCTTAATTTAAGTGAATGGCAGGATATTTTTGGAATGGGAGTTAATCCTTTTTAAAAGTAAATGATGGAAGGGGGCCACTCTTGAACGGAGCACTGATACTGCCTAACAGTTGTGGCCAGCATAGACACTGCAAGTCTGATGATGTTCCGGGAAGGCAGGCAGGGCTGACCTCAGGCATCCTGTAGGTGATAGTTCCCTGCTCCTGGTGCCTCAGCAACACCGTGCCCACCTGCAGTCCCAGCATCCATTCTGAGTCATCCCCACTGGCCTTTGGTAGAAATTGAGGACTAAATTTAGCAATGATCTCTCACAATTATTTTTCCATTTTACTAGAAGATTCTTGATTAATAAGAATGTTAAGGAATCTCTAAAGATAATACATCAAGCATTTGTAACAGGCAATATTCCATGGCTAGAGATCCTGCAAAACATACCCTCTAGGGGTAACTTCAGATCCTGAGAATTTCCACATACAGATAGTGAGCTTGAAACAGTTAAATAGCAAAACACTAAGTTAACTAACAGGCTGGCTTCGTGCCCAGTGTATTTGCTCTATAGATATAGAGAGACTGGGAACACTCTCAGAGGACAGGCCTTGCTGAGTAAATGAGGGCCTTTGCTCTTGCTATTCCTCTTTGGAATATTTCCCCCAGATCTCCTGCAGATTTCCCTCCCGCAGTAGGCAGAATGATGTCCCCCACCCCCTTATTTCCATGTCCGAATTTCCAGAACACATGAATGTGTTAGGTTTCACCGCAAGGGGAATTAAAGTTGCAGATGGAATTAAGGTTGCTGAACAGCTGAGCTTGAGTTGGGAAGATTATCCTGGATTATCCCAGTGGACCCAAATGCAATCACAAGGGCCTCATCAGCAGAAGAAGGAGGCAAAAGGGAGAGTGAGAGAGATGGCAGTGTCAGAAGGACTCAGCCTGACCTTGTTGGCTTTAAAGATGGAGGAATGGAGACATGAGCTGAGGATTGTGGGCAGCCTCTGGAAACTGGAAACAGCAAGAAAGCTGATTCTCTCTAGAGCCTCTAAAAGGAACACCACCATGCCAACACCTAGCTTTTAGCCCAGAAGACCCATTTTGGATTCTGAATTCAAGAACCACAAGATGATAAATTTGTGTTGTTTTAAGCCACTGTTTGTGATAATTTGTTACAGCAGCAGTAGGAAACTAACACATCTCATCATTTGATCTAAGCTCAAATGTCATCTTCTCAAAGAGGCTTTTCTTGACACCCCTCACCTGCTAAAGTATCTTCCTATGCCCAGGCAGTCTGTATAACACACTTTTATTTTCATTTGCTTATGGTTATCTAAAATTATTTTATTTATGTTTTTATTCCTCTTCCCTCTCACAAGAATGTAAGTGGTAGGAGGGTAGGGACTTTGTTGCTTTTATTCACCGATGCATCTCCATTGCTTAGATATCACTACATGGTAGGCATTTAATAAATATTTGTTGTATGGATGAGCCTTAAATTGTTGAAGATCATAACCCTTTTGGCGCTGCTTAATCACAATTAGGGAGCAGCAATTAGAAGAGTCCCACGCCCGGTAGGTCCTGCGTTGCAAGGAACTGCTCAACAGAAAATGGGAATAGAAAGAGTAATGGCAAATAGGAACTTCCAAATAGGCAATCAGTTGCTTAATTTTAGGTAGGGCAGGCAAAAAATTTGAATAATCAGACTATCCCTGAGCAACTGCAGATCAAAGAGTCCTTTGTGATTGCCAAGAATTACAGTTTGTGAAGATGGGAACAGGATGAAAAGATAGGTAATCTAAACTAATTACATAAATATTGCTTAATCATCACAATTCTTAAGGGGTCACACGCAAAAATGCCTCGTAAGGAGAAAAGATGGATAAAACAGGACAAAATAGTAAGATTAGTTTTTCTTATTGATGCGTCAATTCTCTAATGGAGATTATGAAGATTACCAGGTTCAGCTAAAGATCGCAGTGCTGATTATGCTGATTACCTCTCCAGTTTTCTTAGTCTGAAATAAGACCTGGTTCCTAAAAAGACACCCTCAGAAAGGGCTGGCCGCCAGGGAGGCAGGATCAGCCCAGTCCAGCGAGCGAAGTTGTACTGACACGTCTGGCGTCACCACCCTAGAAGATGCCTCCAGGCTCAGTATCCCGTCAAGCTGGTGCTCGCCAAGCACCGCGCCCCAGATCCAAACGATCGCACCCGCCTCCGCACAGCGGACTCTGAGCCAGGCAAAGCCAGGAGGAACTTGCCCCAGTGCCCCGAGGCCCTACGTGCAGCCAGCCAATGGCCATGGGACTGGGGCGGGACCTCGGGTATCGGGCCAATGGGATGCGGCGCGACTGGAGGGCAGGCCGGGTCCCAGGCGGCGGGGTTCGCAGCCCAGCCCCCGGCCATGTGGGACCCTCGCGGGGCTGAGGCGTGCGCGGCGGCGCTCGGGGGCGCGCTCTTGCTGCTGCTTTTCGCGCTGGGCGTCCGCCAGCTGCTGAAGCAGAGGCGGCCGGCCGGCTTCCCCCCGGGGCCGTCGGGGCTGCCCTTTATCGGCAACATCTACTCGCTGGCCGCCTCAGCCGAGCTCCCGCACGTCTACATGAGAAAGCAGAGCCAGGCGTACGGCGAGGTACGGCCCGACGGGCCGCGGACAGGGCGGGTCCGGGCCTCCCTCCGGGTGGGCTGACGGCCGCTGCCATGCCCCAGCTGTCGGGTCCCGCCCAACCGGAGCCCCGCCCCGTGACGTCCCGGGGGAGCCGGGCGGGATCCTCCGCCGCCTAGGGCGCCGAGGGCGTGCTCCCGCGCTTGCGCAGTGGGCCCACGGGCCGTGCCGCTTTGGCCGAGCGGGGCGCTGTCCTCAGCAGATGGAGCTCCGGCCCAGTTTCCCCGCCCCGCGGGCCCGACGGTTCGGTTAGGGGCAACCGACGGCTTCTCGGTGAAACGAGGCGTCCGGATTCTGGGACCCAGTTAATGGTTAGGAGGTTCTTGGAGGCTTCAGTGAGGACGGCTGGTCTAGGCGCTGGCTGTGCGGATTAGGGAGCGCAGGGGACGGCCCGGGCCCGGAAGGGGGCTCTGGGAGACGACTGGGAAAGAGCGAACGAATTAGTGACTGAACTCGGTGCGGGGTCCACAGCGCAGGGGCGGCGGTGACGTCCCGACTGGCCAGGAGCGTCCTCGTGGCCAACGCGGCTGCGCCTGCTGTGGGCCGGCCTCCCCCCGACGGGGACTGGAAAATCGGTAAAATCGAATGGCGCTCATCTGTGCTATTAGGTGCAAGGGAGGCAGAGGAAAAAGAAGGGAGCAAAAATGAAAAGGATGCCTGCGCTGAAGAGCAGACGTGCTGGGCCTGACTCCGCCTTAGACTTAGGTTGAAAGCCGCCAAACATGTTAACCTTTCCCGCTGCGGCGGCATTTGATCTTAGTTGTGAAAGGCCGCGAAAGGGCTCTCGTGGACTGAGAAGTCTCCCAGTTCTCGCAAAGTCTCGAAGTTAGTATAAGTTGTTAGAATACCATGCCGTTTTGGAAGTGGGAGGAGGCTGTTATCTCCTGAACTTCTGGAAGGATTTGGAGGTGTTTCCTCGCAGAAAAAAACTTGGCCTGGAAAATTGCTTATGGGGAATGACAGTCACTTCAAGTGACACGTGCTTTTTTTAAGTCTGTGAATTCAGTTCTTTATAATTCTTGAAAGGAAGACAACCAGTCTTCAGGTCTCACGTATTCATTTTAAAGGCAATCCTAGATAGAAATGTACCGCATTGAGAAGTACCATTTCCTTGGAGATTCGCTCTGAATGTGTAAACTTCTGCAGTGACTTTAATCTTCATCCAGGTTTCCAGAAGCACTCCCTAGCTGGCAAAGCTAGTACAAATGATTTTTACGGGTTATTTTCAGGTAAATGTGAGGACAATAAAATAATTCCTTTAAGGCAAGTAAGGTTGACAACTTACTAATTTATTAATATAGTAACCATTTATTGAGACCTTTATGCCCAGCACTGAATGAGATTCTATAGAGGGTTCAAAGATGAAAGAGATGAAGTCACTGATTCTGGAGTTTATAATTTAGCAGGCAAGCAGAAGACAAGAATATGAATGTTTCTGGTTCAAGGTAGTATTAAATAAGTGCCATGGGAGCTTCTAGGCAGGTGCTGTGGTGGTTCAAAAGAGAGAGGAAGAGAGCGCACCAAGAAAGGCTTGGTAGCGGATGGTCCCTCAAGACTTCCCATGGTTTGGACTGTATGGCGGTAAGGGAGGCATTCCAAATGAGGGAACAGTCCCAGGAAAGGTTGAAAAGTATGTGGCACTTCTTTATCAGTTTTCATCAGCAGCACTTTTCACATTCCTCTGTTATTAGCACTAAGCCCATGGTGTTGTAATAATATGCTTAAAAGTGTGTCTCCACCACTCTTCATTATTGAGCATATATTTATCAATTGTCGTCATATGCTCTGTACTGTCCTAGGTGTGAAGATGTAGCAGTGAACAAAACAGACATAAAAATCCCTGCCTTCGTGTAGCTTACATTCTAGTGTGAGGGAAGATGGACAACATAAGCACAATAAGTAAATTATGTAATATGTTAGAGTACAGAGTATCAAGTAAACTAAATCAGGGTAAGGGAGATGGAGAATGCCAGGGGGTAAAATTTTAAATGGGTTATAGTCAGAGCAGCCCTCACTATAAAGAAGGCATCTGAGCAAAGACTTAAATGAAATGAAGGAGCAAGCTGTAGGAATATCTAGGGGAAGAACATTCCAGGCCAAGAGAACAAGTCCAAAGGCCATGAAGCAGGAGTATGCCATGTTGAGGGTCACCTATAATGAGACAAGAGGCTGTTGTGATAACATATGGGAGAAATGAAGGTGGCTTGGATCAGAGTGTCACTGATAGAAGTGGCAATTGTCATCTTCTGTTTATATTCTGTAAGTAGGAACAACATGACTACTGACCAGTGATGTGGAGCTTGGGAGAAAAATGGAGTCAACTTTGGCAGTTTTGGACGTGAACAGCTTAAAGGATGGATTCTCTATCCTTTCTTAATTGTTATTAATTGACATAGTGAAAAATTGTGGGTAGAGCTGCTTTGGGGGGAGGGGAAGAGACTTGAAGATCGTAGACTGAAGGCAAGGAAGGTGTTTGATGTGTTCCTATTTCCATCTCTGCCAGCATGATAACTAGCCCATAATAATACTAAAAATTATTGAATAAATCAAAGAATATATAAACCTAATCTTGGACCCTTCCATAGCTCAAAACACCTTATGGATAAGTTTCCACAATTTGATTCATAAGCCTTACCAAAACTCCTTGAAAAAAACATATACCAGAATGGATGCTAGTTCAAGTAAGTTTCCCCAGTTGTACCCTCGAATAGAGGACCATCTCAAATTTCTGCGTGAATGTGGATTGTATAACATCTTTCCCAAGCCGTGGTTTCTCCTTGGTTTTGTAGTCCCTAGAGTCTGCAGCCCGACGGCTTTCCCCTGAAATACAACTCCCCTGTTTGTTCTGCCTCTTTACTGAAACAACTTTCAACCCTGGGGTCTTGTACCATCCTTGTGAAATAGTCAGTCTGTTTTTTTCCTGCATCAGGACCACTGTGTAATCACCAGTGACATCCTTTTACTATCTTTGCTGTGTATTGTGATTTATAATAAGAAATATATATTTGGTCTCTGTCCCTTTCCTGGCTCATAGCTCCTAATACCCTTGGAATTTCTTACGAGATAAGAGTAATAAAGGCATGTTTTGTTATTCGTAACAAGCCCCTTTAAACCACACGTGAGTTTTGCTAATGAAATAATTTTTGGAAAGCGCCTAAGGATGGGAGATTGTTCTAGGAGAACCAACCAGGATTAGAGGCTCAGAACTTTCAGCCCCACCCCCTTAACTCTGGGGGGGGGAGAGGGGCTGGAGGTTGATTCAATCACTGACAGCCAATGATTTAATCAATCATGCCTAGGTAATAAAGCCTCCATAAAAATCCCTGAATTATAGGGTTCAGAGAGCTGCTGTGTTGGTGAACATGTGAAAGTAAGTGGAGGGTAGCATGCCTGGAAAGAACATGAAAGCTCCACACCCATTTCTCCACACCTTGCCCTATGTATCTCTTTCATATGGCTGTTCCTGAGTTATATCCTTTTATAATAAATTGGTAATCCATTAAGTAAAATATTTTCCTGAGTTCTGTGAACCACTCTAGCAAGTTAATCAAACCCAAGGAGGAGGTGGTGGGAACCTCTGATTTATAGCCTATTGGTCAGAAGCATAGGTAATACCTGGACTTGCAGTTGGACTCTGAAATGGAGGTGCATTTGTGGCACTGAGCCCTTCACCTGTGGAATCTGACACTATTTCCAGGTAGATCGTGTCAGAATTGAGTTAAATTGTAGGACTCTCAGCTGGTATCCCAGAATTGCTTGATGTGTGGAAAACTACACATCTGGTGTCAGAAGTGAGAGCAGAGGAGACACACAGGAGGAGTTTTTCTTTGTATCTGCTAAAATTACGCTTAAGGGAAAAGACTTTCCTTTAAGACCATTTCACCACTGCTTTGGGAACTGAGAGAGTTCCACCTTGACTTGGCTAGTAGCCATTCCCTTTATGCTGAAACTCTGCCACTGCCACTTTTGACTAGTACCACTGTTTGTGGCAGGCAGTCCACATTCCTTCTCCAAGGTTCTGGATGCACCTGCTGCTCAGGTGGCAGGGCCTGTCCCTGTGCCAAAGACTCCATTGCTCAGCTGGTTAATTCTCTTACTACTTGGAGGTCTTCATAACTTTGCTGCTATAAGTACTTTTGCTGAATTTCTATCCTCTGCTAAGCCTCCTGTTTTTTTCTGAAGTAGCTCCACCTGTTTGCACAGAGATGAGGCTTGACTCAGTATTTTGGTTCTAAAAAGCTCTTGGCCAACCCCTAAAAGGATGGGGATAATCAATCTTTGCATCCCACTGATAAGGTAGCATTATTCCCTCACTGGACTAGGCCCTTTTATTGGCCAACTAGAATAGACTACAGTAGTCTCCCCTTATCCACTGGTGATACGTCCCAAGACCCGCAGTGGATGCCTGAAACTGTGGATAGTACCAAACCCTATATATACTATGTTTTTTCCTATATACATACCTATGATAGAGTTTAATTTATAGATAGGCGCAGTAAGAGATTGACAACAATAACTAATAATAAACTAGAACAATTATAACAATATACTATAATAAAAGTTACCGTAGCTCTTAGCAACCTCCGCATACAATTTTTTCTTAAAAGTTGAGGACTTTCACCTTTTCACTTAAAGGAAGCACTTTGTGGCTTCTCTTTTGCATGTCTCAATTGCCAGCATCACTACTCTTGTACTTTGGGGCCATTATTAAGTAAAATAAGGGTGGCTTGATCACAAGCACTGCAATACTGACAGTTGATCTGATAACTGAGATGGCTACTAAGTGACTAACAGGTGGATAGCATATACAGCGTGGATATGCTGGGCAAAGAGGTGATTCACATCCCAAGTGGGATGGTTCGAGATTTCATTGTGTTACTCAGAACGATGGACAATTTAAAACTTATAAATTGTTTATTTCTGGAATTTTCCATATAATATTTACAGACTGCAGTTGACTGCAAGTAACTGAAACTGTAGAAAGCAAAACCATGGATAAAGTCTCCAGCAAGGCATAGGATGGATATTCTGTCTTGCCTTCTCATTAGCTGAGGGGAAACCACCCATGCCAATGTGGTGAATGCCTTTCCTCCAAGGTCAGATTCCCTTAGAGCCTTTTTTGTTAACGTCATGGAATTCAAGGACCTAAATACAAATAAGCCTAGTTACAATATGCGTGTACTTTGTTGACCTTAAACAAATAGACAACCAGCTCTTTGAGATTAGCAAAGAATTGCAATTTGGGGTCTGCAACCATGGCGAACCACATGCAAGACCCCTGCAACAAGGGAAGGAGAAACTCTTTTATAGAGGGGAAGAGGAATTTAGGAGGGCTTTTGTAAACAAAGAGTTCTGAGGTGTAAGTGGCTTTTTATTGGCTGAGTTGTGACAGTCTCTCATTGACTGAGATTCTTGCCAGCCAAAAAAGAAGAAATCTTGGGGCTGGTGCTGTGGCCTAGTGGTTAAGTTCACACACTCCTCTTCCACGGCAGGGATTCATGGGTTTGGATCCTGGGCATGGACCTATACACCGCTCCTCAAGCCATGCTGTGGCAGTGTCCCACATACAAAAAATAGAGGAAGATTGGCACAGATGTTAGCTCAGGGGCAATCTTCCTCAAGCAAAAAGAGGAAGGTTGGCCACAGATTTTAGCTTAGGGGCAATCTTCCTCAACAAAAAAAGAAAGAAAGAAAAAGAGGAAATCTTTCTTCCCGTTGGGTTCTGCTGTCCATGTAGGGTGTGAGAGCTCCCCCTTTTGGCTTCCCGACTCCAATTTAATGAGGTTTCTGTTCATTAATTTAACAACTTCAAAGCTCTCTCTCTCAGGCCTTTGACAACCCCCTTCCCTATCTAAGCCTGGAGTAATAAAACATATGTAGATGGTGCCGCTTCCTCATTCATCTTAAAAATGAAAAGAGATTCTTAGATATCATTGAATGATTTGAGCTGGAATAACTCTTAAAAGAGCATCTAAAGGAAGTATCGTATTTTCTCTGGCAACCCTGAAGCCCAAAAAGGTTAAAGAATCTGCCCAGGGTCCTATATCTATTTAATGGCACAGCTTAAACTAGAACCCAAGCCTCCTGAGGTCAGTACTCTTTCCATTATACCATTTATAAGATTGCGTCTTCATGGACTGAAAGCATCATGAACTCCTAGTGTTTGATATGCCTTGTAGAGAGAAGACACTCTAAACATGGTCAGTTGAGTAATGAATGCCTACATTTTCAGGGAAGCATAAATACTGGGAGAGCTGGGCTTAATGTGGATTTTTGTGGGTATATTTCTCCATAGATTTTGCCGTTTAAATGTTTTTCTTTTTTTCTCAAAGATCTTCAGTTTAGATCTTGGAGGTATATCAACTGTGGTTCTAAATGGCTATGATGTAGTGAAGGAGTGCCTTGTTCATCAAAGTGAAATTTTTGCAGACAGACCATGTCTTCCTTTATTCAAGAAGATGACAAAAATGGGAGGTATGTTTATTTTCACCTGTTTACTGCCTTACTAAACTATTTTGAATCACATCCCTTATTTTATGTAAATTTAGTACATAGTTTGGATTCTATTGTACTGATTAGGAAAATATTAATTAGCTAATTCATTAATTTAAGTTACAGAATCTAGTATTTGAGGACATTTCAGGCTGCATTACACTCATATTTAGACCACTGTATACTAATTCTACTGTTGAAATCCAGTTGTAATAAATATTGTAAATAATATTTAAAGAATTAGCACTTAATATCTGCAGGTTCTGTGAAACAAGTTGAGAACACACGTACGTGCATACACGCTTGAATCAAAAATGACTTTGAAGCCAGTCTTGAATACTTGGTAACGTTTTTACTATCATTTTGCTTATAGGCTTATAGAACCTGAAGCAGCCTTTCTTAATTAATCAATATGATATGTAAATGAAGAATTGTTGGGTTTGTGGAAAGGACTGGGATTCTCTGTGGGTTAGTATTGATGAGCGTTGGATGAGTACATAGTCAACAAAGGAGAAAGGCTGAAAGTTAACAGAAAGGGAGAAGAAGGCAGCAACAGAGAGCCTAAAATAGAATGTTGAAGTCAAATACTATGGCTTTAATACTTAATAGTATGAGTTTTTACAATAGTGGTGTCCAAAATTCTCCAATTTAATGAGAAGTTCACACTTAATTTCAAGGAAAAATTTAACAATATCTTGCTTACATAGCCTAAAAAAGACATTGTTTGAAAAGAAAAATAAAAATTAGCTATATATTAAATCACAAAGCAAATCAACTAATGCAAAGAAAACACCAGTTTAAAAGGCCAAATTCTCGGGCCAGAGTATAATGATTCTTGAGATCAAAATCTCCAGCTTCTTAAATACTCTTCTAAATAATAATTAGGCCAAAGAAGAAATTATACCACAATTATAAAAGAAGACCTTTAAAGAAATTATGAAAATGAAACATGATGAGATCAGACTGGTATTTGGGATAAAGTATATATTATATATTTTTCAAATCTATAAATTTATAGTTTAAACTATTTTATTATAAAGATAAAATAAGCATTCAACTTAAGACTTTTCAAAAAACAGTATGAGGAAAATAGTTAGAAAATTGTATGTGTTGTTTTCAGATGAATATGCACTGACCTTGGAACTGGGAAATCAGAGTCACCATTCCCCACTTTTTGAATGGGAAAAAGTTGCCCTCTAGGTGGGTGCAACCCGTGCCTGGGCATATGGCGCGGCCAGTGTAGTTATAACAAGGCTTCTCTGTACTTTCTCGTATGTGTATCCCATGTGCATACATTTCCCTACAGCTTGCTCTGATCTCAGTGCCTTTGCACTAGCTGTTCCCTCTACCAGCAGTGATCTTTCCCTGGATATCTGCTTGACTTACTCTCTCATCTCCTGTATCTTTACTTATGTCACCTTCTCAGTGAGGCTTTCCCTGACCACACTGTATCTCCTTTCTTGCTATATAATTTGTTTGCCTCTCCTCACTAGTATGTAAGGTCTATGAGAGTAGGGATCTTTGCCTCCTTTGTTCACTGATACATCTGTGACGCTTAGAACACTGCCTGGAACATAGCGGGTGCTCCGTAAATACACATTGAATGAGTATTTGTTGAATGAATAGTCATCTGGGAGTATGGAAAAGAGAATGGACTTTGGGAATATGAGATTGCTGACAGAACTAAAGACCCCTTTATGTATGGGTAACTTTATCATAAGCTCCAAATGCAAAAATTGCTGCACAAAAATTGTGGAAATGTAAATTACATAGGTACTTCACGTAGACACGAGAACATGACATTTTTCGTCATAAGTAAGCCTATGTACCAATTATGAATGAAATTTCGAGTAAAGTACCTGTTACATAAATATAAGTGCTGAAGATACTGTGTGTTTCTTGATAGTTAATTTAAACGGAAAATATTCAATAGAAGCCACATCAGAACAGCAGAGTATACTGTGGAGACTCTGAAATTTTAAGGCAAGAATATCAATATTAGAAGTGTGAGTTTCATGTTTGCCCTGTCTTAGTTCAGGCTGCTATAACAAAAATACCATAGACTGAGTGGCTTAAACAACAAACATTTATTCTCAAAGATCTGGAGGCTGGGAAATCCAAGATCAAGAGACTAGCAGATCCAGGGTCTGGAAAGAGCCTGCTTCCTGGCTTGTAGACAGCAGCGTCTCCCTGTCTCTTCCATGGCCCAGAGCAGTCATCTCATCTCGTGTCCCTTCTTATAAGAGCACTAAGCCCGTTCATGAGAGCTCCGCCCTCATGACCTAATTACCTTCCAAAGGCCCCACTTCCTGATACCATCATGTTGGGGATTAGGCTTCAATATATAAATTTTGTGGGGACACAAATATTCAATCTCTAGTACCCTCCTTTTGGTTTGAGTATTTCCACCACATTGACAGCTCATTCAGGCCACCCTGGCCTCTGCAAGAGGTATCTTGTTAGGTAACATATTCCTTTAACAGGAGAAAATTTGTATTCTAAAATTTGGTTTCTTAAAGGAGAAAATTTCTAATCCTAGAAGAATGATTTTCAGCTGTTTGCTTAGTCCAAGATAAAATTTTGCCCATAGAACATGCAGTCATTTGTCTTTTGTAAATTAGGCTTATGTAAAAATTGGATAATAAAGTTCACCCAGGCCTCTTTCACCCAGGTTGAATTATGCAAGACTGTCCAGTTTCTTGTGGTGGGAGAATTATAGGTCTATTCTGCCTGTCCCCAGATGAGAAATTGACAAGCTTTATCTGTTTATAGTATTCTGTGGCTAATGAAGAACAGAGAACACGGCTTAACCACTGAGTCTAGTTCTAGTTTTTTAGAAAGATAATTTGGAGAAGAATGACTAACCACCCTTTTTTTTTTTAATCCATAGCATTTTCAGCTTTTAAACACAGGGATATAGGTATGATAAAATTATACCTCTTCTTTCTTTTTTCTCAGGCTTACTCAATGCCAGATATGGCCGAGGATGGGTTGATCACAGAAGATTAGCTGTAAACAGCTTTCGCTATTTTGGATATGGCCAAAAGTCTTTTGAATCTAAAATCTTAGAAGAAACCAAATTTTTCATTGATGCTGTTGAAACATACAAAGGTAGACCGTTTGACTTTAAACAATTAATAACAAATGCTGTTTCAAACATAACCAATCTGATCATTTTTGGAGAACGATTCACCTATGAAGATACTGATTTTCAGCACATGATTGAGTTATTTAGTGAAAATGTGGAGCTAGCTGCCAGTGCCTCAGTCTTCCTGTATAATGCCTTTCCATGGATTGGCATCTTACCTTTTGGAAAACTTCAACAGCTGTTTAGAAATGCAGATGTGGTCTATGAGTTTCTCTCCAGGCTTATTGAAAAAGTTTCTGTCAACAGAAAGCCTCAGTTACCTCAGCATTTTGTTGATGCTTATTTAGATGAGATGGATCAAGGTCAAAATGACCCGTCATCTACTTTCTCCAAAGAAAACCTCATTTTCTCCGTGGGTGAGCTCATCATTGCTGGAACTGAAACTACAACCAATGTGCTACGGTGGGCTATTCTTTTCATGGCCCTTTATCCTAACATTCAAGGTGAGGATTCTCTCCATCTCAAGTCCTGTCCTTACATTTAGGGCTCACACGTGTTTGAGAGTCTTTGGCCATGTACAAAGCATTTTATACAGGAACTGCTGCTGTGATACCTAGAAGAAAAATGTTTAATAGTTATAAAGAGTTTTCAAATCTGTTTTCTCAATTCATGTGAAAACTTCTGAGGTAGGTCTTATTACGCCTGTTTTATAAATGAGGGAACTCGCTGAGTGGCTCATTTGCCCAAACTCAGCTGCTGGATGTAGCAGAGATGAGACCTGAACCCTCGTTTTTTTAATCCAAGTTTTATGCTTCACTATTTTCCTTGCTGAGAGTGATGTTACTCCAATTCTGGATTTGTTTAATTTTTATTACTTTTCATGTATTTTTCACAACAAAGTTACTCAGCGCATTGGCTACTGGTAGTACAAGATATATGGCATATGTTTAAATCGAACTCCCAGATAATAAAAAAATCTGAGTCTGGGTGTGCCTATACCCTGTTGACTTATTATAGGTTATACTTTGTTTTCTCTCCAAGGGAAATTGCTTTAGATGTAATTCTAAGAATAGCATAATAACTTAAACACTTTTTCTCTGACAGGACAAGTTCAGAAAGAGATCGATTTAATTATGGGACCCAGTGGGAAGCCATCTTGGGACGACAAATGCAAAATGCCTTATACTGAGGCAGTTTTGCACGAAGTTTTAAGATTCTGTAATATAGTGCCATTAGGGATCTTCCATGCAACCTCTGAAGATACAGTTGTACGTGGTTATTCCATCCCTAAAGGCACAACAGTAATTACAAACCTTTATTCTGTACACTTTGATGAAAAGTACTGGAGAGACCCAGAAATATTCTATCCTGAGCGATTTTTGGACAGCAGTGGATATTTTGCCAAGAAGGAAGCTTTCATTCCTTTCTCCTTAGGTAAGAGCACCCTTACAGGGGCACAACTTCAGGACAGACTAGAGTGATGATTCATCATGTGTGACTTCTTAATTTGAGGCATAATGTTGTAGAATTAAATATGCCAACTCTGAAAACGTAGCATTGATTCTTACAGGAGAGAATGGTTTAATTAGAGGTCATTAACACCAGTTTCTACTCAAAATAAAAAAGCCTTAATTTAGTAACTAGAGAGAAACTGTTGAGGGGCTCTGACTTCTTCTGAAACTTTTTTGCTTGTAGACTTTTAGCTTGTAGTCAAAACTCATAGAGCTAGAAGTCAGTAACAGGTGGCTTGAGAAACTGAGACCCAGGGAGGGAAATAACATCATAATGTGAAGTGAAACTAGAATCTAGCTCTCTTGGCTCCAGTTTATTATACCTCATCTCCAAAAATGTTGCTTCTGCTGTGAAAAAGTACACAGATCACAAGACCCATGGAAGATGGACTGGAAACTCTTCCTTTCTCTGGCGAAGGGGACACATTCAGTCATTTGAAATGAAATGAGCTTCTCCTGGATCTATAGAACAAACTGTCACACCTCAAATGAGATCTTTCATGGCATATCTTAGGCACTGTTGCAACGTGCAAGGAAAGTGGGGAATGAGACTTATTTTAATAAGCTTAGAAAACTCCATGACCTGACAAAAGAAGGTAAAGAAATAGGCTCTGGGAGCTGAAGTGCCAATTTCTATTCTTTGAAGTTTAAGAAAAATCCTTTAATAAACATAACTTTAAATTTCAGATTTCCTGAATGACACCCACATATTAGACGTAAATTTCGGTAAATATTGTGTATTTTGAAAAATTACTATGTCTCTCTTTTGTTCGTTTAGGGAGAAGACATTGTCTTGGAGAACAGCTGGCTCGGATGGAAATGTTCCTGTTTTTTACAGCATTGCTTCAGCGGTTTCACTTGCATTTTCCGCATGAACTGGTTCCAAATCTGAAACCCAGGTTAGGCATGACACTGCAACCCCAGGCCTACCTCATCTGTGCAGAAAGACGCTGAAAGCGCCTGGCTGTTTTGTGGAACAAGGCTGTATGTTCGCCTCACCCTTGAACCTTGTTTAATCACTGTGTGTGTTTTGACAAAAGTCACAGCATCATAAAGCCAAATGAACACAGATGTGTCTTTAAAAATCATACTAACACAGTAAGCATTAGCTATGATTTTTTTCAAGCTTTTATGACTTCTAAGGTAGAATTATCTGTTGAGGAAAACAAAGGCTCAATGACAGGTATTGCTAAGAAGGGCCATTGATGTCCTAAGCAGAGCCTGATTTTTCAGCCTCTTATTAAGTACCAGGTACCTCCCATCCCTTCCTGACTCCGTCTTGCTCCTGTTCTGGGGGCTTTGCTTCCAAATCCCAATGCCAGCTCCCTTCTGGTCTGGTACTAGTTCAGTTTATTAGAGGACTAAAGGAGAAATTAGAACCTAAATAAATGAGTTTGGACTACAGAGGTATTGTAGACATAGTGGCAGATGATAGAAGAAATATCTATATTTTAATGTAGAACCTACCAGTGCTTTCAAATCTTGCTCCCTTCTATGTCTTCATAAGAATTATGTCATGTTTCCTATAAATGAGGGACTCAGTGACCCCTGAGTATCTGTCCCCGTAGCAGCAGTTCATTAGGTAGGAAATTACAATTATATATTTAAAATAAAAATGACATGTAACTATTAATTCTTTGTAGGCACGGACATTTTGTCTAGTACCACTCTTTTCCAAAACCAGTCACAGGGTTTAAAGATTGAATCCTTTTACCTTTGTGAAGTCTCTGGGAATTTCCTTCCATTACTGTTATTTTTCTAAATATAATACTATTCAAATCAAAAGAAACATGCTTTAGATCCAGAGTAATTGTATAAATTGGGACGCTTGAGAGTGATGGGCTTGTATTAATAATTATGCCAGGAAATCAAGTGTAAACTGTGACTGTCCTGATCAAACTGGTGTGCATGTCCAACTATTTATTGTTTTTTTTACATTATTTCTTCTAAAGTTTTACATTAAGATTCATGCTCTTGTAACTTGGCTCATGAATAGTCACAGCCTCAGAGTAAATGCACATAACAATGACTTCTGTTAAGAATATCAATTTAACCTTAGTTTGACTCATCTGTTGAATATTTTCAAGTTTCTGTGTGGTAATTCAGGCGTCTTTGCATTCCTGATGCTTTAAGATGTTTCTAGTTGCAAAGGGAAGATAATCCTGTGCAAATTTACTTAAATAATAACGGAAAAATTCATAGGCAGTATGGCAGTTTTAGCGTAGGTATGACCTGGATGCTCCATGATGTAATCAAAGATCTTGTTTCTTTGCATCTCTCAATTTTGCCTTCCAGATGGTATCAGCTTTATCTTAAGGCTGGCTCATGGAAGCACATGTGTTTTTCCCACCTCTTTGTAGAGAGAGTGAGCTTGGATTGTTTCTGGGAGAGCAAGGGAACTTTTCAGATGTTCCCCTAAAACTGTTCTTTGTGTCCCATGGGCCCTAAGTAAGTTATGTCACCATCCATTGAAACTATGTCTTGTGAGTGGGATTATGGTTCACTTGGGCTGACTGCTAGAGCCAGTGGTTGAGTTGGCATCCTCCAAAGTACATGTGCTACATTTGGGTGATAAACTTACCTAACAAAAATCAGGAGAGTTATGAAGAGAAGAGGAACTCCTGGCTAAGAGACTAATTACAATATGTATCTTGCTGCCCTCTGACCACCTGCTAAGCCAAGCAACTTTCCAGCCTACCTCCCTGACTCTTGACAAACGTACTCTTTCAAGTTGTTCTTTGATCTTTGCTCTTCCTTTAAAGAGAAAATCTCTCATCCTGGGCCTCCTACTTCCTGGCATATCTCCTATAAATGCCTAAGTTGAACTCTACAGACTGGGGATTCTGGAGGCTTAGTGGCCTTACTGAGCAAAGCAACATAGTGAACTGGAGTAGATTATAATCAAAATTGAGGAGGCCTTATTTTGTTCTTGAATACTACCACTGTTTCTTCTAGGATGGTTAAGAACGCCATAAACCTACACAGAATGGAGAACATGCTATTTATTTTCTTGTATATAAGGAAATGTTTATATTTTTCCTTAATCAAGTTAATGCCGACCTGACAAAAATCATAAAAGATGTAGATTCATAACTTTTTAAAGGTGGAAGAGCTTTAATCTCACTTAATATGTTCATGTTATAGCCAAGGAAATAGGGGTTCAGACAGGGGAAGTGATTTCTCTAGTTCATAGCAGAGGCATGCCTTTTTCATCCCATATTCTTTTTATGCACACCCAATAATTTATACTATGCTTTACGATTTATAAGGTTGCTTTTCATATACTGTCAACTCTTGACTGTTTGGACCGAATTAACTGTGGTAAAAATAAAATAGTACATTTTGGAAAAACGTAAATTAACGTGGATTAGTAAGTAATCCATAATGGAAAATATTTAATTTTTAGAACTACATAGTAACAGACTATGGATCTAATACAATGGGAATGCCTTCTCTCCCATCAGCCAGTGGTGAGCTACTACTCAGAATGTTGGAAAGGTAACTTCTGATTTAAAATGGCAACACTTATTTCTTCTCTTCCAATGCCACTGAAATTATCATAAGGATAGAAAAGGGGATAAAGGCGTTGAGAATGGGGTTGGAGGGCCATGTTAGTGAGTCAGTTTCAAGTTCTAAAAGATGGAAGGCAAACGGAATAATATTGAAGGAACCACAGACAAGACCGTGCGTTGACAAAGGCTGAGGTGGAGATGAGAACTCATTCTCACAGGATAGCTATGGAGAAAATCAGCAGATAAGGAGAGGGGTGAGTAAGGACAGCAAAGCTGGAAAGAAATCAAGCTGCTGCCCCTGTCCCCACTCTGCTTTCTCTTCTTGTTTGTGCAGCTATAGAACTTGCCCCCAGTGCTGAAGTAAAAATCTAAGTAAATTGAGTACTCTGGACAGGAGACGGTGGTGCTCCCACACAGAGATTGCTGCCCCAGATTGGCAGCCCCCTCATTTGGTCTGATTTTGACCTCAAGATCTACATCCCTCAAACCATTAATCAGGCGTGAAGGTAAGTTTCCCTCAGCCAAGCAGTGATTGGGGAAATGTCAGCAAGAGGGCTAGTGTTAAGAATTGAATATATTTAACTATGGAACTAAGATGAAAACAAAGGTGGAATAAGTGTGATGGAATAATATCGAAAGTTTTACACTCTGACTGTTGAAATAATGCATCTAACAAAAAAATGAGAGGAGAAAAGCTAGAATGTAGAATAAGCACCCTGATTGCCTCATGTATAATAGTTAGGAGTCAAAGGATATAATTTAGCACTGACAAATGAAGTAGTAGAAGTTTAAGTATATTTAAGAGTACAAGAGTAAAGAATGGTAATGTTGCCTGAAGTTGGGTAGTTGAGGACATGGAGCAAGAAGAGGAGTAAGTTGATTTTATTATTCATATAAGGGAAGCAGATACTGTCCAAAGATATTATATAAAGGTGTAAGTATAAAGATGACCACTACATCAAAAATGCAAACCTTTCTAAATGTCAGGAGAACTAAAATTAATTTTTTAGTAAAGAGCTAATAATATGAGAGAGTAAATGAAGTTCACTGTTGACACTACTGGGTTTATAAGACATGACAGATTCAAGTATTTTCTGCAAAGGACCCACTAATGAATAATACCGTTTGTCCAGCTGTGTCTTTTTATGTTCCACATACATTTTTACATCCGTTTTGTGAATTTTTGTCAGAAACAGAAAATGCTGGGGCCAGCCCTGTAGCTGAGTGGTTAAGTTCGCACACTCCGCTTCAGTGGCCCGGGGTTCACCGGTTCAGATCCTGGGCGCAGACCTACGCACCACTCATCAAGCCATGATGTGGCGACGTCCCATGGAGAGGAACTTGCATGACGTACAACTAGGATATACAACTATGTATTGGGGCTTTGGGGAGGGGGAAAAAAAAGGAAGATTGGCAAATATTGGCAACAGATGTTAGCTCAGGGCCAATCGCCTCAAAAAAAAAAAAAAAAAGAGGAAGAAGAATATCCTGATTTGCTCTACCACATAAAAGTTCAATGACTTAGCAGTGATAACATTTTATTGCAAATTTTTTAGCTCAGGGCCAAGACTGAAATTTTTCTGAGTGAGAAGAGCCACCTTCAACCACTGTTATCAAATACTGAATGGCTTTGGACATTAGCTTTTACAGCAGACTTGATTGTTCTTAATGAGTTAGACCTAAAATTATAAGACAAAACAGTTCTTATATGGAAAACAGACTGAGGTGAAGTCATTTCAACAAGAACCTAACACTTTAAAGCAAAGTAATGTCAGGCTGCTTTCTGTACTTCTCTGATGCCAAAAGCTAAAACAAGAAGTGAGGCTTCCATGCCCTGGAAGACACAAGCTTCCAGCAGATGTATTTTGTGAGCTCAAGCTAAAGTTCCAGCAGCACTTTTGTGAACCTGGATGCAAGTGCAAAGGAAATTTCTGTATTTCAAAATTTATTTAACTGAGTGATTGAGGAGCTTCCACCTAACTTCAATTGCAAGTGATTAGTCTGCAAAGTATGATATGCTAAAAGGGAAATATCAGAGAATTTAATAGAATTCTATAAATGCCTTCCCAGTGATTAATATACTCAATTAAAATCCGATGCCTGTGGATTGATATCAGTATTTGGTAGTACCCATCTCTGTGAAAAGGCACTTTCAAATATGAAATATGTAAATCTCATTACAGATCAGCATTAACAGATGAACAAAGCACAAACTTTGAACCCTAGTTAAGCAAACATTTCTGGAAAAAGAATTCCCTTTCATTAGTGTATCAATATTATTTTTTTAAAGTAGTTATTATAATTATATTTTGAATATCATCAATAAAAAATTGTCAGTCTTGTTATATAAGTACCTACACAATGTGCTTGGCCTGCAGAGCCTAAAATATTTACTGTCAGCCCCTTTACAAAACAGTTTGCTGATTCTGGAATTAGACAAACTTCTAGCTAACTTAATCAAGAAAAAAGGAGAAATAGCATAAATACTCAAAATATGAAATGACAAGGGAGAATAATCACAGAAACAGAATTTTAATAATCATAAGAAATTGGGGCCGACCCAGTGGCTCAGCAGTTAAGTGCGCACATTCCGCTTCTCAGCGGCCCGGGGTTTGCCGGTTCAGATCCCGGGTGTGGACATGGCACCGCTTGGCAAAAGCCATGCTGTGGCAGGCATCCCACATATAAAGTAGAGGAAGATGGGCATGAATGTTAGCTCAGGGCCAGTCTTCCTCAGCAAAAAGAGCAGGATTGGCAGTAGTTAGCTCAGGGCTAACCTTCCTCAAAAAAAAAAAGAAAGGAAAAGAAAGAAGAAATTTATTTAATTTGTACAACTAAATGGGAAGAAGTTTGAAGACCTGAGTTAAATGGATAATCTCTATGAAAATATAATTTACCAGAATTGACCCTAGAAGAGATAATCTCAACAGATCAGTTTTCATAAAATAAAAAATTGCCAGGGCTGGCCCTGTGGCCTGGTGGTTATTTGGCACACTCCACTTCAGTGGCCCGGGTTTGGTTCCTGGGTACAGACCTACATCACTCGTCTACAGCCATGCTGTGGTGGCAACCCACATACAAAATAGAGGAAGACTGGCACAGATGTTAGCTCAGGGCAAATCTTCCTCACGAAAAAAAAAGAAAGAAAAAGTTGCCAAAGATGTAGCCCTCAAAAAACTATTTGAGCTGTTCCAGAGCACAGAAACAAAAAGGAAACTTTTGAACTCTTTTAAATTAAAAAGGAATTAAAAAAAACAACAAACATAAACCATTCCCACTTATGGCTCTCAATTTTAAAATCCTAAATAAATTATTAAGGAAAGCTCCAATGCTACATTTAAAAATTAATGTATTATGACCGAGTAGAGTTTACTCCAGGAATATGAGTGGTTCAATATTAGGAAATATTAATACTAATCATATACAGAGAAAATTAATGTGGACGTCTTCATAGATGAAGGCATTTGACAAAATTCAACATTCAATAAAATACAGATTGATGGAATGAATACATGAATATATATACACCTATATAA